TACTAAGATGTGCAACATTAGCTGTGCCCCTCCGGCTTCTGCCTTCCTCTCGCTTGTTTTATGAACTCTATTGCAAATGCCCCCAGGTTTCACTGAGAGGTATCACAGTGTTTTTCTTTCTTTCTTCCCAATTAAGCTCTTTTCTCAAATACAACAAGCAGTGCAGCTGGCAAAGAGCAGCTGGCATATGAGTCTGGAGAGGATGAGGATGATGAAGAGGAGGAGGAAGAGGACTTCAAGCCTTCTGATGGGAGTGAAAATGAAATGGAGACAGAAATTCTGGACTATGTGTGAACTCAGTGACCAGTATGACTGCTGTTGGACAGAATCTTCTCTGCTCTTGTTCCTTGAGAGCTGAGGGTTCAGCCACCATGCCCAGGATGTGGGAAAGCAGAACTTGTACTAAGATGATGACGATCTCTCTGCACCGACTGCGGTGCCTGCTGATGGCTGTCATTCTGGATGTTTGGGAGCCATTGCCTACATTTTCATAATTGCTGGCTAATAAGCCCTCAAGCAAGCTCAACAAACTCCCAAGAAAGAGCCCAGAATCCAAGCCATACACCAGAGAAGAGGAGAAGTTGCATTCCCAAATGTCTCCATGTGTGCGAAGTGCACTTTGGCCAGGTTGGTGGCCACGTGGACAATAGAAAAGGTGCCTGAGGAGGTGCTGGGGGAAGTACTCCGGTGCTACTGGAGTCCCTAAGGCAGGTGCTGCCCTTCTGCTTGTCTAAGGGCAATGAAAATACTGTGTCATGACTTCAGCATTGAGCCTTGCCGGTAATCTTGGAAATAAAGCCTGCAGGAAAACACACTTTCTGGCAGTGAATAATTCCCTTCTGTGGGAGGTAGCGTACGTTGTCCTCACTAGCTGATGCACTTCTCAATTCTGTCTTGACTTCCCCAGTAGTTAGCAAGGACTGAAGGAAGCAGGCAGTGGGGCAAAGCTTCAGGTCCACAGAGGTTGGCCGCTCTGGCCATCAGTCTGCCACTGCTGGCTGGATTGCTACCACCCTGTCACAGAAATGAAGGCTCTGCTGGCACTTTCTGAGCCTTGTGCATTCCCCAGTGTGTTACAAGTGCAAGGTTTCTCATTTGTGGCCGATAATATGCTCTAATGCATGGTTTAATACGATTTCAGCCTCCTGCACTTGTGTGAGGCTTCTCAAGGCTTCAGCATTTTTTTATGTTCTGTGGAGTTTTGTTAGACTGAGATATTTCCTTAGGTTTGGCCTCCAGCCCACAAAAGCAACATCTGCAGGGCTCTCACACAGTGACGCCAGTCTGCCTCAGCCATGGTTTGGCCTCAGCCTACTGAAGGACAAGTGTGTAGAGGCTGCCCTAGTTTACCTTAGAGCCAAGACTGGGTCATGGCATTGACACACAGCTGCACTCCTAGATATATATATGTAAGCCTCCATGTGGGAATTGGCTCCTCAGGTGTGCACTCACCATGGCTCGCTGGGAGATCCTGTGCTTTGCCTTGTGCTCCTACCTTGGGGTAGCATGGGCTGCAACCGTAAGTACCAAAACACTTCTTATGGCTTTGCAAGACATTTTGCCTGTTCCTGCCTGAATAAGCAAACTCCTGCTACGTCTGGTCTGGAGCCCATGAAAGAGGGCCTGTGGACCATGACAGCCAAGGCAGGGTGCTTTTAGGTGCCCTAAAAATGGCCAAGACTCTCATCAACATTCTTCCAAAAGTTCCTGCACAGTTCTTTGTCAGGTCTGGCCTGGTTTACATCTTAAGGCTGTAGGTCCTCACCTTCTGCTGTTTGTCTTTGGGAGTGCAGGGGAATTGCCACTGCCCATCTGCTCCAAAGGGCAGCCTGCAGGACATCTGTTCAGGCACATCTCCAGTGGCAACTACCTGTGGGCTTTCCACAAGGGTCCAAAGGGATGGCTGGGGAAGGCGGGCTGTGAGTGGGTCCATCTGGGGGACCGAGCAGGGCAAGGTGTGGGTGCTGGCAACATGGGAAGCCAGAGGCATGAAGGACTGTACAATGGATTTTTCTCTTCTCAATGGTGCCACATGTAGCTGGGTGTGGTGTACACCGAGGGCGGTTTTGTGGAAGGCGAGAGTAAAAAACTGGGACTCTTTGGGGACTATGTCGACATCTTCAGAGGGATCCCCTTTGCTGCCCCTCCAAAGACTCTGGAAGACCCCCAACCTCATCCTGGCTGGGAAGGTAAGATCCAGCTTTTGAATGCCTTTGGTTTGGGGTTTTGTTTTCACTTCTCTCTCTGTAGTCCATTATTGACAAGCCAAAGACTTTTTTGCCTGCTTTCATCTGCTAAGCAGAGCCAAGAAAAAGCTCTTTGTCTCATGGTGGGTATGACAGTCTGTGTCTAAGCGTGCCCAAGCAGCTCAAGTAACCACATGAAGTAACAAATCCGAAGCATGGCACCTGCATCTCCCCTACCCATGCCTCGGCTGTCCAGAACTAGTTCACATGGGAAAAGGTCCCACTTTGTCACTCCCTCAGGCCGGTCACAGTGGCTGGGGAGGCTTTGCTGCCTCTGTATTGGACTCACAGAGGAGAGGATGGATGGACAGACAGTTTGCAACCAAAGGATGGAGTTGATGCCTCTAACTAGGACCTGCTGTCTTCCCTCTCTCCTCTCAGGAACACTGCAGGCAAAAGAATTCAAAAACCGCTGCATTCAGATGACACTTACACAAACTGATGTCCGTGGAAGCGAGGACTGTCTCTATCTGAACATCTGGATCCCTCAACAGAGGAAACATAGTATGTGCTTGGCAGAGACCTGGGGAGGAGATTCTCAGTTGCCTTTTGTGGACAAACTGCTCTGGAGCATCTCTCAGCAGCTATGTTCCCATAGTGGGCAACTGCAGGAGCACTGATTTTCAAAGGGAAGGGTGGGAGCCATGTCAACCAATGTCCCTCAGCTGCAGCCTGTTGGGAGTTTCAGCCTCTTTACAGAGCGTAGACTTTCTTGGCCATAGGCTATTGCACAGCATCATGTCTATTCCTGCCCAGGTGGAGCGACGCTCAGCGAGGGGGTATGGGCGTGGATGGGCAGCACCTTCTAGCTATGTTGTAGCTCATACTGCTTTTCTTCCTCATCTCCCAGTCTCTACCAACTTGCCAGTGATGATCTGGATCTACGGTGGCGCCTTCCTTGTAGGAGGGAGCCAGGGAGCCAATTTCCTCAATAACTACCTCTATGATGGCGAGGAGATTGCTGTGCGGGGCAACGTGATCGTGGTGACCATCAACTATCGCCTGGGGCCCCTAGGCTTCCTGAGCACTGGAGACGCAAGCATGCCAGGTACCGTAGCTGCTCCCTCTTCAGGGGACCCTGTCACAGGGCCCCAACTTACCGGCTTTGCTGTGCCCTTGCTTAATGGTGGGTGCTCTCTGTTGCTCAGGGAACTACGGGCTGAAGGACCAGCACATGGCTATTGCCTGGGTGAAAAGGAATATCAAGGTCTTTGGGGGTGACCCAGAAAACATCACCATCTTTGGGGAATCAGCTGGTGCCGTCAGTGTCTCCTTGCAGGTGTGTTGTACTTGTTAGACCCCACCAGAGCCACTTCTCTTCTCCGTAAATGGGAGAGATGATCCCCTTGGCACTCCACTGCTTTCCTCCACACACACTGCCTGTTTAACATCTTCTCCTGCCCAGGGACAGCAATGCTCAGCCTCTTCACCTTGTAGCTGCTCCTCCTTCAGCTTAATCAGCTCCACCACTGCAGGCACGTGTCCTTGCTTTTGGGACCTCTGGTGAAATAGCATTTACTTGCCATGTCCCCCTAGTCTGCTCCTCTTCTCACCGTATCACCTTTTAACTTTAACTGCTGAGGCTGTTAAATAGCACGAGAACTGGCAGCTTCCTCGGGTCTGGTGCACAAGCTATGAGGCGATCGGACAGGTCTGGGAGGTGATGGGCTTTTCAGGAGTTTGCACCTGAAACCCTCTTGTCTCTATTTTGTACCACAGATGTTGTCCCCAAAGAACAAGGGCCTGTTCAAGAGAGCCATCACCCAGAGTGGTGTCGGTCTCTGCAGCTGGGCCATCCAGAATGACCCGCTCTCCTGGGCTAAAAAGGTAACATGCAAGCCTTGCTTGAGGGAATAGAAAACAAAGGGATTCTCTAGAGAAGAGCATAACTAGCGAGGTATTCAGCAGGAGCCATGCTGCCAAACACAGAGCTTTGGAAACATGCTGCTTTGAGACTAAAACCAACCTCTGCCCTGTGAAGGTGGTAATGAAGCCTGGCTTCAGAGGGTAGTGCTGGGAGCTTTCTCTCTCTCCTCCTGCAGATTGCACAACATGTGGGCTGCCCCATAGACAACACCACCACCTTGGCCAACTGCCTGCGCGTCTCCGATCCCAAAGCTGTGACGCTGGCCTACCACCTGCAGCTGACCAACCTGCCCTGTAAGTCCCCCGGTCCACGCTGTGGTCCGCCACGCACCCAGGGCTCACCATGCCTTTGATGAGATGCTGGGGTGATTGCCAGGAGTGTTGAAGCAGTGCTTGTGTCCTTCAGAAAGGGGACAATAATGACAGATCTCACAGTTGCCCTTCTGCAGGCAGGTGCACGTTGCGCTGAATGAACGCCGTTCATCGTGCAATGGCAGCGGTGGCAGAGGAATTACCCACGGGCCATGCCTTGGCTCCAAAACAGCTGTTTGGGCTTTCTGTTCTGTGAAAGCAGCAAGAGCATTCCAGAACACAGCTTACAAACAAAAAAATAATTGACCACAACCCTGCTATTTTCCTTTGAGTCGCTGGGTGGAGTGTAGGACTCTCCCAGCAGGTAGGGAATGCTTCTGCTTTTACTGCCTGTGAGAATTTCTTGCCCAAGACGACTCTCCTCTGTTTGCTCTCCTCATGCTCCTAGTAAACAGCCCCAGTATTTAGCCTTGCCCAGGACAGACAGTGGCCAAGCCACTGCTGTGCAGCTGCACTGGCCTAAGCCAGCTGTCCTGGCAGTGAGTGAATGCAGCCAGATGGGGTGGGGAGAAGTTCTGCTCTTTCATACCTTGGACTGGGCTTTCTGGGAAGGGGCTGGGGGAAGGAGAGGAATTGTTGATGACACCTGCCGGTACTTGGTTGGCAGATGTCTTGTTCATCTCCCCCAGCTACAGGCATGAGGTTTACTGAACGTGATTCTGTGGTCACGCTGAAGTCACCACCCAAGCTCTCATTCACCTCAGCCTATTCCTTTGACAGTTCCTTGAGCCACGGGATATGCCGGGCCACACATGTCTTTTCTCAGCTCCTAACAGACTCCGGTTTTGTCTCCTGCTGCAGCTCCCCTGGTTCACACACTTGCCCTCACTCCTGTCATCGATGGAGACTTCCTCCCAGACATGCCAGAGAACCTCTTTGCCAACGCTGCTGACATTGACTACATTGGTGGGATCAATAACATGGATGGACACATCTTCGCTGGCATTGATTTGCCTGCTATCAATCGCCCATTGGTGAAAATCACTGCGTAAGTGAAGGATGCTCTTAAAACCCTTAACAGGAGGAACCCTATCTTTAACGTAGCCCCCAAACTCCAAGGCCTTAGACCTGAGTGGACAGGGCACTACCTTCAAAACAGTATGTCACTCCAAGCCAGGGTGCCTAGGGCATATGCTGCCAAGTCCAGAGCCTTCAAGAGAAAGGGCCAGCTAGTGGGGAAGCCTCCCCGTGTACCTTTACGGTGCTTCTGAACTCAGCACCAGGGACAGGCTTGGCAGCCCTGATGGTCTCTGTCCAGAGAAGGTACATGCCAGACATGCTGGGTGCCCACCCCTTAAGACTCCTCTTTGCGGACAAAAGGAGCTTGCGGCCAATTTGGCCCCAAGCTGTTCTGCTGAGAAAGCTGGGAAGCACATGCCCACCATCGAAGACCTGGAATGAAATCACTGGCTTTTACTCCACCAAACCATTGCTAACCACAGGCTTGGATATGAACATCAATGGGAGCTGGGATCCATTTCCATGATCCCTGCCCCACTTGAAGCTGCCGGTCTGTAATTAGTTGATACTACTTGTCTTTTCAGGCAAGAGGTCTATCATTTGGTCAAAGGACTTACTGTGGACAGGGGCGAGCGTGGAGCCAATGCGACATACAACCTCTACACACAAGTGTGGGGTGACAACCCGGACCAGGAGGTCATGAAGAGGACAGTGGTGGACCTGATTACTGACTACATTTTCCTGGTTCCCACACAGTGGGCACTGTATCTGCACCTGCAGAATGCCCGGTGAGCAGCTCAGCCCTGGCAGGAGCCCAAAGCCCGCCAGGGGCTGAAACGCTGTGTTGCCGGCACAAGGGGATGAGGAGTGGGTTAAGAGGGCTGAACTTGAAGGAGGCACGCTTTTTGGTACTGAGTACATGCTTATGTGTAACTTGTACAAACACTACTTCTCTAATGCTGCAAGGGCGTCATGCTAGGAATTTGTTTTAAATTTCCATTAAAACAAGTTTTTGCTTCCTAAAAACTTCGGATTTCATCCTAGCAATGTTTGATGCCACGAGACACGGCAGTTGGAAGATATGAGGGTTAGAGTGAGAATCAGAAATGGAAGTTAAAAATTACCAGATAGAAGGATGTTTTCTCCTGAGACCACCTCTTAGATGCACATGAGCATCTTCCAACGCTGAATCTCTGGCTCTGCTGGTATTTGGAGCGTGGTTATGAATCTGCACCCCTTCCTCTGCTTTCCACTCACATCCACTTAGCATGTCTATTTTATTTCTCCAGGAGTGCCAAGACATACAGCTACTTGTTCTCCCAGCCATCCCGAATGCCCGTCTACCCAAGCTGGGTAGGGGCAGACCATGCTGATGACCTGCAGTACGTGTTTGGAAAACCCTTTGCCACCCCTCTGGGCTACCTGCCCAAGCACAGGACTGTCTCAAGTGCCATGATTGCTTACTGGACCAACTTTGCCAGGACAGGGTGAGTGATTCCAGTTCCACATTTGGGGCTTGCTGCAGCACTTCAGCCTGCTGCTCTTGTCTATTAACTTCTCAAGAGCCATTCTCAAAAGCGGGGTGCCCTCTCTCTGTACTTCTGTTGTGAGCCTGGCTCTATGTCTCCCAGTGGTGGAGTTTCCCCTGGGGACAGCAAAAGCATTTTCAGAACTTGTGAACTCTGCTTAGACTTAATGATGAGGTTTGTTTCCGAATCCTGCCATTCAGACAGGAGTTAAGCCCCTGCATGCAGCCAGGGACGATGCTAGTGGGGACCAAGGGAAGAGACTGCAGGTCACCAAGTCACTCCTAGCAGGCAGAACTGCTATTGCTTGTCCCAGTGTCAAACTCTCTCTTTGCACTCACTTGAAGCCTCACTTGAGCAGACGGGGTCCCTCCCAAACACCACAAACCTTGCTGCATCCACAAGCTGCCCTGATAAAACTGAACTTCCATGTCTCCTTTTTCCCCAGTGATCCCAACAAAGGGAATTCGAAGGTGCCCGTTGCCTGGCTGCCCTACAGCAATGAGAGCAGTTACTACCTGGAAATCAACAGCAAGATAAACCAGGACTCTCTGAAGCAGAATCTGAGATCCCGGTACGTGAACTTCTGGAACACAGTCTATCAGAGTCTGCCGCAGGTTGCCAACATCTCCCTGACCGAGGAACTGCTGTGAAGCTAAGAAAAAAAACCACCTTTTGGAAATAGGCCAAATTCATTAAAGGCTTGCTTGTAACTGAGTGATTATGGCTTCTCTTTGTCTTTGCCGTGACAGGGTTTTCTCCCTGACGTTAAAGCCAGGCAGCGAGCGACATCCAGTCTGCGGGCAAAGCGTGTTCCCCTGTCCCGTAACACAGCAATGTCCCGGTGAAGCCGCTGACACCGGGAGCCGCGGCTCGGCCTGCTCTGCCAGCCCTTGGGTCAGGGTTTGTTTTACCTCGTCGCAGGACAGGCCCTGTCCTCTGGATGTCCCCGCGTTACCATCAACACCCACGCTAATAACAAAAGCCCTTAGATAATTACAGTTGTCACCTACGAACGCAAACCGACAGGTGAACTGTTGCCCTACGTGCAGGGAAATCGGCTCCGAAACTCAAAGAGGGCGAAATAAACCCAACGGCGGGAGGTTATTCCGCACCGGTTTATGGGCACAAGCACCCCCCCATGCCTTGGCAGAGGCCAGGCCGAGCTGAGGAGTTCCAGCTCCGAGCCCGGGCGAGAAGAGGAGCACGGGTGCTCGCCCACCTTCACCTCCACCTTCACCTTCACCCCCAACCCGCACCCCCCCACCCCGGGCCCGGCCAGGCCCCGCACCGCCGCCGTAGGAACCGATCTTCGGCGGAACCTTTGTGCCGCGGCCCGCGGCGCTGAGGGGGGAAGACTGGCGGGAGGGACCGGGGTGGGGAAGCGATGGCGGCGGGGCGGCAGTGGCGGGAGCGGGGTTCGGCCGTCTTGGAGCTGCCCCGTACGCCGCGGTTGGTGTGTGTGGAGTACCCGGGGCTGGTGCGGGACGTCGGGGCCATGCTGCGGACGCTGGGAGGAGAGCAGGGGGTGTCGCGGGTGAGAGGGGGGGGTCCCGGGGAGGGG